CGAATTCTACTGATCATAAGCTAATGATAGCCGACGATCTGATCGACCAAGCATCACGTGACCCGACAATGTGTAAAGTCTATGCGACTCTTGGTCATCATAAAGACATAACGGTGTGTCTTCTCAGCCAAACACTCTTTCCTCCGTCGCGTATGGAAAGTACGCCAGGACCATATCTTTAAATTCACATTACATCGTACTATTCAAAAATAGACGCGATACCTCTCAAATATCAACGATTGGACGACAGATCCTACCCGAAGGTGAAGTTTTTCTGGATGCCTATGAAAAGGCAACGAGTAAACTGTTTGGGTATTTGATCATAGATCTGTCACCGAGAGGCGACCAGCGCTACCAGCTCCGAACCAACATATTCCCAGGTGAGGTGTTGACGGTGTACGAAGCGTCCTGATAATCACCATGAACCATGCGATATCATCGGCGAAAGCGTTTCTGCATTTTATCAAAGATGCATCGACGGACAGACAGCGGAAGTCGATACTGAACCTGATGACCAATGAGCAAATGGACGTACTGAGCGAAGTGTGTGTAAACATCTTATGCGGAAACATCCCAATTCCGCCCTATCTTAAGGAGAAGCTCAGACGCAAGAAAAGTCAGTTGAGGAAAATCGCCGACAGGAGAATAGGCGCTCTATCACCAAACGCCTCTTGTTACAACTCAGACATTTGTTGCCATTAATAATTAGTCTATTGAAGCTTAGATCCGAATCTACACTCGAAGACGACGCATCAGAACAAGACGGGCACTATGGCACAGGAGATGGTTCTGATTCCGAAGGAGAAATATGAACGAACGCTCAACGAGCGATGCGTTCATCAGCACGAGGAAAGAGCGAAGGATAACAACGTTCGAGTCGACGACAATGACAACTCAACGCCATCAAGTCAATACGACGACACTACAACGGAACAACAGCGAACTGGGAAAAAACGCAAACTCCCCGCATGTCAATCGACTTTGTATTACCACCCAAAAGCGAAAAGAATGAAGACTCATAGCGTTGGGCATCAACAGTGGATACGGTATTGAAGGAATACTACACCACGAGCCGAACGGAGACATTTTATCAGTGACTATCCTCGCACGTATCACGAATCGAATATGAGAATACAGTATATAGTTCCGTGTACAATCGTAGCGCTACTTCACTATACGTGTATATGTATATGTATGTATTCTGTTTGCGCTATCTATGTATTCATCGTATATAGTTCTCTTGATTATATATTTTATCCATTAACCGACCTCTCAATGATAGTGAATCGAGGTTATGAAAATACAATTTGTAATTAGCTTCACGTAAAATCGTAGCATTACTTCTCTGTTTGCGTATATGGGTGGTGTACAAGTATCACGAATAGTGTTTGTAAATAGGACGATGTGAAATCGTAGCACTACTTCTCTGTTTGTGTATATGCGTCGTATATGTATGTATTCTGTTTCACGCTATCTATGTATATATATATATATATATATATAGTTCTCTTGAATATACGTAATTACTGATTAACTGGTGTTTTGTGACTATGTTGTTTCGAGCTCTCAATGATAGTGAATCGAGGTTATGAAAATACAATTTGTAATTAGCTTCACGTAAAATCGTAGCATTACTTCTCTGTTTGCGTATATGGGTGGTGTACAAGTATCACGAATCCGCCGTGTGAATAGAGTTTGTAAATAGGACGATGTGAAAATCGTAGCACTACTTCTCCGTTTGTGTATATGTATGTATTCTGTTTCGCGCTATCTATGTATCCGATAAATATATATATATATATAGGTATAGTTCTCTTGAATATACGTTAATTACTGGTGTTTTGTGACTATGTTGTTATATTGACGAATTAAAACTCATGAACACAGAAGTACATAATAGTTGTATTTTATTTATATAGATATACACCAATACAAGGATATATAGATATATATGAATCCACATTTCTGCCCAGACCAACACGTGAGATTACAGATCAACATTATCTGGACACGGGTTTCAAAGTCAAACGTAACGGTCGAGTCGTCACTCCGTCAGACATCACTGCTCGTTTCATGTAGAAATAAGACAGTCCCGAGCGCCTTTGCTGATATGTATACATGGTATTATTTCTACTTCTGAAACCGGTATTGACAATCGATCTCGACATTCCATCGCGCAAGACAGAGCGATAGAGATTCATTGGGTCGTGAACCTTTCTCTTGTTCAACCCCTTGCAGCTCAATTTCACACTATTATCGCTCTGACGAAGGGCATACGTTTTGGAATTCAGCGATACCATCTCATCACCCACGCTCTCAACTTTGAAAAGCCCCGGCGTGCGCTTGTCTCGCATGTCGTGTTTGACGCAACATTCACGAGGTAGAAAATGCATTTTATCGTCCGCCTCGATGTCGCCTTTGTCGCGAAAACCCGTGATAGCATCCTCTCATACTCTGTTAGTTTTTCGGGTTTAATCACCAGCCGAAGGGTCTTTTCCGATAATGCGGCAGTAACAGCTATCGGTATCGCATTGCAACAACTCGAACGCACTCTTGTCTAGGAATTTCAGTAGGAATTCATAATGGAACTGTAACATGCGTAGCTTGGCGTACTGTAATACGAAGTAGCCGAGGACGGATGGCATATCGACCGAGATAGACCTTTTAAGCGATATGACCTCGAAGTCATCGTCATCTAAAGCGCACAAGGACAAAAAATGTCTTTTATTGACCTGAGCCAAGACCGAGTTCTCTCCGTGGATGTACTTACACGTGGTATGACGCGTCTTGTCCATCAAAAGACTACCGTACGCGCTGTTGCCTATCAGTTTCCACACCTCTCCGATGATAGCGAAATCTTTGTTGGAGTCACCTAGACGGCGACTCGCGGTCACCCTTTCCACGAAGGGTTTGAAGCATTTCATTCCCTTGTATTCGACCGCGTGGTAAATTTTGGTTACCACGAGACCCTGCTGTAAATACCATCTAAGTAACGGCGTGGCTAGTAGTATTCTGCTCGCTTTCATTCCTCCCACCAACAAAGTGCGATCGCGTTGACTAAGTTTCTTTTCTCTGACAAAGTCGCGCATATGATTTCCCATTTCAGCGAAGGGAACTTTACACGTAGCAAATATTGGTGCCATTTCAGAAAAATGTTCGTACAGTTCGTCCGGAACGTGAATATCGACCTCTACCAATCCGAAACAAGGATCCGGTGATCACGGCATCGAGTAGGGTCTCCTGGCTAACGGCGGTATTCGCGTGAGCACTCGTGAAAGGATACTGTCTCGTCTTAAGAAAATCTTGCAGTTCAACATCCGTTCGCACATCTTACGGAAATCGCATTCCCACATGCAAATGATCTCATATCCCAAACCCCTGAGGTAACGCTGCGTTCTCTACGGTTCTGTTATATCGGAGTTTTGCTTTCTCGTTCTGCTCGACGCACGAATGACCGTGAAAATAACACCCCATAAATTCGTAACAGGTTCGAGATACGGGATCGCACCCATCCACCAGAAAAGGACCTATTCTTTTTCGCTCGAATTCAATCGATGCATCAACGATATTCCTTTCCTCGGTGACTTTCCCAATCTAACCAATCGTAGCTCATGGTATACTTTTCAGATTTCTTGCGATAAAACCTGTTTTACGCGGCGTCCGCAACCAGCGCCATCGAAATAACCAGTAGGCATCTCGAGTCCCAAACAGTAGAGATACAAGGCGTTGCAATCTAGACCGATGCACTTTTGACAGACTCTGTCCTTATCCCTCACAAGAAAAATGTCTCACCAGCGCTGTGATAACGACAAAGATAATAGAAGGCCCTCCCACAATACCGCGTCTCACCGTCTCCCACAGATCACTATCCCCCGGTCCGAATAGGGCAAAGTGAGCGCATTCTTTAAGCGCTGTCCTGAACAGTAATCGTCTCGCGATATCCGGTGTTGACACGGCATCTTTGAAAATATCTATGCGTGTCTCACGCCAATAGAAGCGTTTTAGTCTGTCAACAGCCTCCACGCCGGGTGACACGTCTAGATTATTATACCAAATCAAAAAGTCCCTCAGCGTTTGCATGTTATTCTCATTCCATATTTTTTGTATGTAAGCATAGTTCTCCTCCGCGCTTCTGGGGACGGTTTTTAATTTCAAATGTGATAGTATCTCTTGGGTTGACTTATTCCACCAACCTATGTCGTCATAGGGATTCCGTGAGATGTGCGCATGCGTAAACCATCAGTTTGCGTTCTGCTAGACATCGGTGATTAACGAAGCTTCATTGAAAAACTAATTAATTTGAGCTGTCCAAGTGAATACTTGACACACCTGCAATATCTGTGCTTCTACGATAACCTGCGGGTGTCGTGAACGACTTGAAAGCACTCAGTGGGTGAATCCCAGCTGAATTTCTACACTATTTGACCAAACGGCTGCGGCCGGGGTCAGGGGTTGAAGACCAGAGTTCAAAATGGCGACCCCACTGCGAGAGAATCATATGGCATCGGAGAGTGAGATCAGTGACTGTGAAGCAGTCGACTGTAAACCTCGTCAAAATGTTTTTGACGTCGCTGAAAGATTTCAGCACAACGGACAACATGAAATGGATGTAGAAGGTGCTAACAAGAAATGGCGAGGTATCAGTGCCAGTGGTGCAGTCAGGAAAGTAGGTCAAGCGAGACCTTGCAGTAAGACACAGGCTCTGCAGTCAGTCAGTGAACCAGACGACTCGCAGCAGATCAAAGATGTTATGTCAACATTTGTAGAGACTCAGGCTGCACAAACAGAGACTATGAAGGGTATTTCAGTCTTTTTGAGTGGATTAAAAACACAGTTTGAGAAGATCGAGACTTCGCTTAATTCCGGACAGACACGGATAGTGCCGAGCGGAAGTAAACAAACCGACAGCCATATTGAAGATGGCGAGGTCACTGATAATGACAACAGCGAGTGTGATGAGTTAGACAGTCTCGACAAGTGGGTGTCTGAGTGCGTGAATGACAACACAGCAGTTGTTGATGACCAAAATGCATCAGATGTCATTGACGACCTGTTTGCAGAAATGCGGTCGTTTATCGGTGATGATGACGATACATCGCCGCCTGTCAACCAAGGTCTTGCTACATCGGTGAGGGATGGGCTACAAAAACCGGTAAATCAGGAAAAGTTGAAAGAGCTTTTCGCTAAGTATAAACGGCCGGAAAACTGTTTAAACCTCCTTGCACCTCGTGTAAATGAGGAGATATGGTGTGAGGCGAGGAAAACATCTCGTACTTCAGACATCAAGGCACAGCAACTACAGGGTATGATTGCCAAAGCTACCATACCAATAGTGCAGTTGATGGACAATGTGATGGAGGACATGGTGGCGAAGAGAGAGCTAGATGCCAAAACAGTTCTCAACAAGGCAAAAGATTCATTGCGGATGCTCATTGCAGCACTATCAAATATGAATTCTTCAAGAAGGCAAAATTTTAAACCGGACCTCAGCCTTCCCTTCAAGAAACTGTGTGCCCCAAATGCAGTTGTAACTAGTGAGTGTCTCTTCGGGGATGAACTGAACAAAAAGATCAGGGACATTAGTGAGGCTAAGCAGATAACGTCAAAATTATCTGCTGGCCATAGCAAGCAAAAAACAAATCTGTATGGGGGCACTAAAAACTTTACAGCCACCCGATATTCCCCCTACTCAAATGAGGGTCAGCTTTCCCGCGGTGGCCGCCGGAACTTCGGTGGTAGTCACACTGTCAGTCAAGCCTCCCGTGGACGGGGACAAAGCTATCGGGGGAAGACAGCCCAACAACAGTCTTTTTTAGCCAGGCGCCAGAAGGACACGTACAGGAGGTAACTACCCAGGTGAGAAAGCACACAGGCTGTATTGATTGTTTGGCTAATACACCAGATAACTTCACAGCAGGGAAGACTGGGGTACATTTGTCAGTTTGGCAAGATATTACCTCGGATCCATGGATCCTAACGTGTGTCTCAGGCACTAAAATTGAATTCACTGAATTTTCTTTGCCAAAGCAGTACCACATCCCAAAACCCATCCAATTCAAAGAAAATGAACTCAGGGATATGAGAAACGAGCTCCAAATTATGTTGGGGAAAGGGATTATTGAAAAATGTTCACATGAAGAGAATGAATATATATCAAACATTTTTAGTAGAAGGAAGAAAGATGGCTCTCTCAGAATTATTTTGAATTTGAGACATTTGAATGAACAAGTTGATAAGCACCATTTTAAGATGGACACTTTTCAATCTGCTCTTTACTTAGTGCATCAGAACTGTTACATGGCATCAGTAGATTTAAAAGATGCATATTTTACCATCCCTGTGCATACTTTAGATAGGAAGTACTTAAAGTTCCTTTGGGAGGGGCAATTGTGGCAGTTTACGTGTTTGCCCAATGGGCTTACATCCGCTCCCAAGGATATTCACAAAGATCCTCAAACCAGTTTTCTCCACCCTTAGACAGGAAGGATTCTCAAACTCTGCCTATATTGACGATTCCTTTCTTGTGGGAGAGGACTATAAACATTGTGATGAAAATGTGAAGTCATCAGTGAGATTGTTAGACAAATTAGGATTTACTGTTCATCCTGACAAGTCCTTTCTTGTGCCAACACAGGAGATCACATACTTGGGATTCATTATAGACATTCAAAGGATGACAGTGAATGGATGTCATGATATCCTCAATTCCAAACACCTCACAATCAGAGACCTAGCATCTCTAGTGGGACAATTTGGTGCTAGTGCACATGGAATGCTATATGCCCCTTTGTACTGTAAAAGGTTACAGATATTCTACAACAGGGCCCTCAAACAGGCTAGTGGGAACTTTGATTCCCATATTGAACTCAGTGAGACATGTGTTGAAGATATACTTTGGTGGTCAAACTATGTAGGGGAAATACCCCAAACCCATCAACATGCCACTGCCTAGTGTAACGGTAGAATCCGATGCCTCGAAGACAGGTTGCGGAGGAGTGTCAGACGGTGTTAGGACAGGTGGACTATGGTCAAGGCAGGAAAGTGAAAAACACATTAACGTATTAGAAATACACGCTGCTTGGCTAGTCCTTCAGTCATTGTGTAGTGCACAAAGGAATGTCCACATAAGGTTGATGCTGGATAATACAACAGCTGTGACATATGTAAACAACATGGGGGGGATGAAATGGGGTTGTAACTTCATTGCAAGACTCATGTGGCTTTGGTGCAAGGATCGGGATATTTGGCTATCAGCTGCCCACTTGCCGGGTGCAAGTAATGTTGAGGCGGATTTGTGCTCAAGAAAACTTTCAGTTGATACGGAATGGAAATTAGATACATTAGTTTTCAACTCACTGTGTACAATATATGGCAAACCTAATCGAGACTTATTTGCTTCCCGGCTGAATAACCAACTTGATAGATATGTATCTTGGCACCCTGATCCCCACTCCGAGGCAGTAGATGCCTTTTCTTTGATGTGGAAGGACTCATATGACTATATCTTTTGCCCTTTCAGCTTACTGGGCCATGCTCTTCAGAAGATTCAATGGGAACAAGCAGACAGTCTTGTGGTGGCCCCACTTTGGAGGACCCAGTTCTGGTTCAGCAAGCTTCTAGAGCTGTCAACAGACTGTCCGAGATTGTTGCCAAAATCAAGGTCCCTACTGACACTAGTAAACCAACCGGAAGTTCTGCATCCACTCCACAAAAAGCTGCGCCTAATAGCATTCAGATTATCCGGAAAGCCTTGGAAGACGAAGGAATATCGGGATCAGCTGCGGACATCATGCTGTGCTCATGGCGCGATTCAACACAAAAACAATACGGAACTTATCTGTGCAAGTGGATGTCATTTTGCACTGAGAGGTGTGTGGATCCCATGTCACCATCTTTAAGCAATGGCTTAGCTTTTCTGGCTGAACTGTACAAACAAGGCCTCGGTTACTCAGCATTGAACACCGCAAGATCAGCCTTATCATCAGTGATCAAACTCAACAATATGCCCTTCGGACAGCATGACAGAGTAGTTAGATTCATGAAAGGTGTATTTAATTTGAGACCATCGCTACCAAAGAACTGTGTTACATGGGATGTCAATATTGTGTTAAGCTATCTTCAGAAAATAGAAGTGTCACCTAATTTGAAGCAGGAGACCCTTAGATTAGTCATGTTACTACTATTGTTGTCAGGACAGAGAGTACAATCCTTACACTTTGTGGATTTACGAAATGTGCAGTTAACTGATAACAGTGTGAAGATTCGATTTGGTGATCTTCTCAAACAATCTCGACCCTGTTATCACCAACAAGAACTAACTCTGGTTGGGTTCAGTGACCCAACTCTGTGTGTGGTTAGTACTATGAGATTGTATCTGGAGTTGACAAAGGACATCAGACATGGTGAAACTGCTTTGCTCATTTCTTTTCAAAAACCTCACCAGAGAGTCAGCAAGGACACTATAGCTAGATGGACGAAAACTGTGTTAAGAAATGCTGGTGTTAACATGGACATATTCACTGCTCACAGTGTGAGATCAGCAAGCACCAGTTCAGCACTTAAAAACAGTGTGCCTATTCAGACTGTACTAAACACTGCTGGGTGGAAAAAAGACTGTGTTTTCAGGAAGTTCTATAACAAACCCATCTGCAGTGATGAGCAATTTAGTACACAAGTTCTTGAATCTCATAAGAGCAAAACTTAAGTTATTGAAGTGTTGCAATCTATTGACCAATATGCTGTACTTGTTTTATGATGTTTATCATTGAGCTAACTAGTTTAGAAGATGTTTGTTTGCTGAATAGCATTACCCTAGTTCTGTTTTGAGAAATTTCCACTAAGTTACTCCTTCATTGTTATGTGGAATAGAGTATCACTTAGGAAGTTGTTGTCACTTGACCTATAATTGTGAGCCTCAATACAATTATTTGAGTGCAAAACTTGTTGTGTTGTACATATTTTGTTCTTGGATTAGCTGTGAAAATATGATACTACTCTAAAAATCTCACGGAATCCCTATGACGACATAGGTTGGTGGAATTAAACAGTTAACCGAGACTTACCTGTAAGTTGAAGGTTGACTAGAATTCCACCAACCTATGACGTAGGGATTACGTGCCCGCCACACCCACCCATATGCACTTCGTATCAATTTTCCGTTAAAAACTGATGGTTTACGCATGCGCACATCTCACGTAATCCCTACGTCATAGGTTGGTGGAATTCTAGTCAACCTTCAACTTACAGGTAAGTCTCGGTTAACTGTTTAATTCTTCGCGGTCTCGGTGCGCAGGAAGTCGACATATTTTTGCCAATTCACATCCTCCAGGGTATTAATACCCTTTAGGTTAGACCAAAACGCCTCTATGGAAGGGAGCTTCGTTTCCTCTAGCTTCTCGAAACTATCGAGGTACTCGTAACAAAAGAAACCCTTAGACTGAGAAACGTTGAACGTTAATAGAAACTGGTCATAGCTTACTCCGGGAGGCATAAAATTCGAGATATCTAAAATGTTCAGTCTTTGGGAAACGATGCTTATGTACTAATTGTTTCTCTTGATGATGAAATTATTATCGTCATCGATGATGTTCAATGCCCTGGCTAATTTGCTCTTCCATAAATTCAAATCGTATTTGGAACTATTGAATTCCAAAAGAGGGAGCTGATTACAATAGTCGGTCACTTTTCGTAACAAAGAAACCAGTCCCTCGAGCGTCCATTCATCACCCGGTGTCCACACCCCACGGGGCGAGGTGGCACGTGCTTGAACATCCGCTTCGTTGATATCTTCCCATTCATTGTAGTTGATTTTTACTGCTGTTGAGTCATCTCGCAGACCCTGCAACATGTCTCTGTACACATTCGGTTTTGATAGTCTATTGACCGTGCTCAGAGATGGTCCCTCGACATCATCATCATGTCCTCGTTTTGGTGCAACGCTGTTGTTTTTCCTACCCCGTAAATGATCAATTTGCTTCCGCAATTTGACCAAGGCCGGTTGTAATTTCAATTCGGTTAATCTTTTCGCCTCCGTGGCTATCTCCGTGACATAGTCCACGACCTGAGCGAGTAAACTCTCCGTTTCTTCCGTGACAATACACTTGGGTTCTTTGTAACCGGGAACGTTGGAGCACACGGAAATGGAAACGGGATGGTGACGTGTCGTCCACGACGTAGACGAAGTTTTGTTGCTCAAATCAGCGCTCTCACGTATCAGGAGAGATTCACCGTCAAACATAGCGTGATATTCATAAAGTCTGTCATCCAGCGGAACGTAAATACCGCATCTTTCCTCGAGTTGATCAAATATTGTCTGCGGCGGCGAAAAGTAACCACCGGGGAATCTGAGCACGCTTTTCTGACAACAACCGCTCTTTTCGTGATTCCTCGCGAGAGTCCTCCTGCGGAAGCACATATCGCAATGTCGACACTTGAATCGCTTAGCATAGGCTTCGAGATCGGCGATGTAGGTCAAGTGGCTTTCGTAACAATCCATATTCAGAGTGGATTTGTCATTGCCTTGTTTATTCGACAGATAGATGGGTACGCAAGAATGACCTTCGTCTTGCATTTTGAAAATGTTGACACGAACGTTAAAAGTCCTCTCTGAACAAAGGAACATCATCCGGGACGTTCAATCCTTTAAACGATAGTGGACTGATTTCCTTTCTTCCCTTAGCACGCGTAAATGTTCGAAATAATTTTAAAACCGTACTTTTCTTGGGTGTTTGTTTTAATCTACACCCTCCCGCTTCACGATACAGTTGATGATATGCTAGACATCTGAAAGCGCATAGCGAATCCACTTCACGATCCCTCGTTATGACAAGGCACTTCTTGATCTTTAACCACGTAGGTAGAGAGAGGGTTTTCTTGCCGAGAACGTAATTAGTACGGTACACCCTGTATGCGACATTGGTGATGAATACGGGCTTCCACTTCGTGTTTGGACGTTGTTGGAAGATGAGTTCGTCTAGGTTTTTCATGTGAATTCTTTTCACTACGCGGTTCAGCGAATCGCGGTTATGAATTAAACCAGGTCTGTCAAAAACGAAAGTGTTCTCGTAAGGAATAAAGTATCTGTA